CAAATAAATTTTAATATATGTATGACTATTTTAGTAAATATTTCATTTTGATTTTTTGTTATTTATCACAGCCTACTAATAAGAAAATGATATATTTTAAATATTGCAGTAAATAGTGAAAATAAATATAGAGTGATATATATTTTTGAGAAGCTCGTAGCAAGACAGATCATATGATTTATAAATATACAGGGTGTTCCATTTGAAAAAACATAACTTTAGTTCATATTTTCAAAAATATTTTTATGGTAGAAAAACAGACTACGCCATTGTATTCTACGTAAAATGTTCTACAATAAGCAGTTTTCGCCTTATCGATACCTTTAACAATAACAGAGATACAGGGGGTGCCCCAAATTGTAAAATTTTCGAAAAGACCCTGTAGCTCAGAAATGAAGAGGGCTATGAAAATTTTGTTTGCAGCATCTTCCGTTTGACGAAAAAGTGGGACAGGTTTGTGCAAACCGCACCCTTCTATCTTCACTAATAACGGAGATACCCTATGATTTCAACCAAAATGAGATACACTGTACAGTGCAGTCACTTCCTCGAGACAAGTTCGTGTGCTAGACGTCCAGGAACCTTCGTTGAGAACTTTGAATCGAGACGATCGACTTATTGTAAGTTTATCACTAAAAAAAACCGCCGTTTGCGAGCTTTTCAAATTTATAATGAATTGCACCTAAGCTAAGGAACGTACATGTAACTGAACGTACTGTAAGAAGATTAAACGAAGCAAATCTTATGTCAAGAAGGCTTGCCTCAGGACCACAACTTACTAGGTCTTAGGTCTGTAGACTAGGACCAAAAGCAAAGCCATGATTTTAATATAAAAATTACGAAAAAATACTAGTGTCTTCTTCAAAAGCAAATATCTCCAACAAAAATAAAGCTATTGGGATGAACCAAAAAAACAAACTATTGAGAAAGGATGTACCTAGATGATAAAATCATTTTTGAATTTCTTGCTGTCTTAACATACTCCACAGAGTGTTTCAAACCTTCACCAAAATATCAACATTATGTTTTCCCTCATAGACAAACGCCGGAAACTTTCATTTTCAATTTAAAAAGAAATACTAAAAGTCAAATAACCTATGATTGTCAAAATCGGCCCAGTAGAATAAAATATATTAAACTTTAAAATACATCAAAATTTTAACATGCCCGTTTTTCGTGCCGGTCAAATTGCCATTAATAAAATGAGCAGAAAATAAATTACATCCTAAAAGTTAACTTAATTCGTTTAAGAGAAGAAACAAAAGCTCATCCCTTGTTCTCTCTAAGTAAGTCCTTAAAATCCTTAGATCTTTAAAATCAAACCTTTTAGGTGGCAGATCAAAACTTTTAGTCATGTAATTTAATGAATTATTATTTCAAACCAAAATTTATTAAATTTTATTGCATTAGTTAAAATCCGATAAAATATATGAAATTATTTAACTTACAAATTCCCTTATGTTATGTATTATAATTTTCCTTAAATGCTCCAAACACCATCACTTATACTATCAATTTTACTACTAGAATAACAATATACAAGAGCTTTAAAGATGTTATTGGAGTCTTCTTATCTCTTTAATAAACTAGTCCTCAGTTTTACTTTTTTATACCACTAATGTGTTTTATATTAAACAAGTCTTTATTAACGCAATCGTGTGAAAGGATTATCTACGAGCCTAGTTTAAAATATATTAATTAACAAAAATTAAATTATATAATTCAAGTAGCCCAGAACAACATGTCTTATCGCATGTTATTTTTTAATCTATATAATTTTATGGCTAATTGATACCGAAGAATGTCTGAATATTTATCATTTATATTGTTCTGTAGACTATACTGTTCTCAGACTAAAATACATTGTCTGAGGTTCTATATATTGCAAATACACTTATTTACATTTACTTAAGCCCCGTCTAGACATAACATTTTATCTTACTTCTTAGCTGGTTCAGTAAAATACTCTCGAATGGTTTAAGTCGTATCTGAGCAACAGGAGTCAACTTGTGAGGGTGGATACCACGTTGTCTTCTAGCAAGTCAATAGAATGTGGAGTACCACAAGGCTCAGTACTAGGCCCTATTTTGTTTCTTCTTTTTATTAACGACATTGCTAACATAAACATCAGTGGCAAAATATGTCTTTTTGCGGAAGACACTAGCTTCACTTGGAGCAACAAGGACGTCACGGCACTCATAGGATTATATCAAATGATTTAATCACTATTAAATCTTGGTGCGACTCGAACCTCCTGAGTCTCAACATTTCTAAAACTAAAGCTTTGTCGTATAAAAACTCGCTGCAGCCTTTTGTACTTAACAAGCACCTCCATTGACTTCGTAAAATCTGTAAAATTCTTAGGGCTTGTTGTAGACAATTCTCTGAAATGGGACATACATATCGAAGCTTTGTCGAAAAAATTGAGCTCTGCCTGTTTTGCATTAAGGTCTGTTTCTAAGGAGCTTAACTTGTCAGTGGCTAGAACTGTTTATTATGCACTTTTTGAGTCGCACCTCAGGTATGCCCTTCCATTCTGGGGTACGTGTTGTGCGACTCAATTTGACCGCATTTTCAAGCTCCAGACGAGAGCTGTTCGATATTCACTGGGACTAAACAGCAGAACTCATTGTCAGGACTTTTTTAAAAAATTAAAAATATTGACTCTTCCTTCCTTATTCAGATCAGATTCTCAAGAAAGGCCATCTCACACTTATCCACTCAGGAACGCGGAGCAAGATCTTTATCTACCTACCCCACGCTCAGAGTTAATTAAGTTCAATATTATACAACTCGAAAAAAATGCACAATCACCTGCCATTCGAAACCAAATCCATAACATCATTTTCTTCATTTCGCAAAGCATTGAACTCTTATTTACTAGACAAGGCTTTCTACGCTGTAAATGAATTATATTTTGAAAATCGAATTTGATCTTGTAAACACTGGTCTAATGTTTGCTATTGCTATATTTACTAATGACATCGAAATGAATTTATTTAGAGGTCATTGATATTTACTATAAACTAGCTAAATATTTTTGAATGCTGTTTTTATTTTTTTGTTCTTTGACATTGTAAACATTTATAAATGTTTATTTTAAACAATAAGACTGACAATATTATTTGTATAATATTTTGTATTATCTTTTGTTTGTTTGTTTGTGTACCTTGTTTGTTTAATTTCTTTGTTGAGTTTACCTTTGTCTACAAATTGAAAAATTTTTTGACAATAAAGGCATTTATTTATTTATTTATAAAAACGTATCAAGTAAAATATTGTACAAACGAAAAAATTCCGAAGAAGTCAGTCCCTGCACAAAGTTATATTGAATTATATAAACCTAATTCAAGTTTACCCTTATAGTAGTAGTTTATATAGTTTTACCCTTACCTAGGAAGTTTACCCTTATATTTATTATTAAGATTAAGAATGTTCAGCAGCCTCTCTCTTACCCTTGACTATCCCATATGTAAAATGAATATTAGAAAAGATTAAGCGAACAGCGAAATAATATATCCTTAAAACGGGTTTCCAATCTGTTCCAACTTTAATAACCGTCTTAACCAAAACAAGTCTGGAAACATGAAAGCAAGAGAAAGAGTGCATCTGTTGGAGGCAGATGCCGAATTCGGCCTATGTCCGACATAGGCATTATTTAGATATATTGCGATATGACATATGGCGATTTGTCCATACTAAACTTGTCAGATGCGTGCAACTTCGTGGTTATAAATAGTCTTTACATAACTTTTTTGCGGAAGTTTTTTTGCTTTTTTTGGTATAATATAACAACAAAAGATCACCCGGCGAACGCCCTCCGCATAGAAGTTGAAACCAATGCAATCAAAACTCTTCCGCGTAACTTTGTGGATATAGGTAGGTATATTTAATTATAATCGCCATATGTCTAATTATTTCGGACATAGGCCGAATTCGGCATTTGCCTCCAACATATTTACCAGATACCTTGTGAATGCGGCGAGTTTTATATTAGAGACACGCGCTTAAATGCGCGAATTAACGAGCATCAAAAAGCATGTACAAAAAGTTGAATTAATAAAGTCTGGTATTGCAGATCTTATTGTGTGGTCCAAGCAACACATTTTATTAATTTAAAGAAGACATTCGAAGAGGCATCTTTATCAATCCAAGTATGAAAATTTATTTGAGAACTGCGCGAACACGCGCTTAAATGCGCGAATTAACGAGCATCAAAAAGCATGTACAAAAAGTTGAATTAATTAAGTCTGGTATTGCAGATCTTATTGTGTGGTCCAAGCAACACGTCCAAGCATCTTTATCAATCCAAGTATGAAAATTTATTTGAGAACTGCGCGAACACGCGCTTAAATGCGCGAATTAACGAGCATCAAAAAGCATGTACAAAAAGTTGAATTAATTAAGTCTGGTATTGCAGATCTTATTGTGTGGTCCAAGCAACACATTTTATTAATTTAAAGAAGACATTCATAGAAGCATCTTTATCAAAGTATGAAAATTTATACAATATTTGGTAACCACTTATCAAACGGACAAATACTGGAATTTTCAACGGACAACCCCATGCTTGACTCCACCTATAGCAATAGAGAAAGAGGGATATATCCTCTATTATAGATTCGGGACAACACCGAACAACAACATCTGCAAAATATTTGCGTACTTGGCAAGTATGCTATCTTTGTAAATAACATGTTTTTGCAACAAGCTCAGTGCTCACGCCGTGACGAGTGACAAATAATTGCAACAAGTAAACCGCTCACAAGACATGGCAATTTGGTATATGCCAATATAAATGTTTGTACAAGTACACGAGTCGTGAGAGTCCGTTTTAAGATGGGTTATGGACTGTATGATGAGTTATAACTCAAAGAAGAGGGACACAATAGATCTTTATGTTATTATCGCTGTTATTATCCCCCCATTCATTCTACATTCTACAAAAGTGCCTCATCGTTTTGGTGTAAGCAGGAGATACATATAATGAAACGCAATACTTGTTATTATGGTATATTCAGTGGCAAATAGCTTAAGCCATACAATAACACTTAATATAGAAATATAAAAGTAAAGATTATGTACACTACTACAATTACAAAACTTAAACCAACTAACTCGAGAAAAAAGTCTGTACAAAACCTAAATTGGTGTATTACGTCGACTATTTAAATATATATTTAAATCACAGACACTAAACTTGAATCTGGCCTTTGTATGTACACTTTTGAAAAGTCTTTAAAAATATTCTCATATTATAAGATGGTCCGACTCCGATATTATGACGCAATAGTTCCAATTGTTTCGTATATACAGGTAATTTTTTAAATATATAACACTTTCAATTTATCCCTCAAATTATATTTATAATTTATATAATACCAAATTAAAAGTAATATTTTCAAAAAATAAATAATACGAAAAATTCATACCCTTAGAAAAACTAAGGGTATATTATAATATACTCCGATTCACAAAACATGACGATTGCATCAAACTATTTATATTTCGAAAAGACATATGTGAAACCGATATTTAAATATGTAATGCTGTAAGGAACACTCTGGCAGTGGCGTAGTGCTTTCATAAAATATCATTTATACTATAAAAGATCTTTGACAAAAAAATTTTATAGTGTTGGTGTATTTTCTGTCCATATGCAGGTTCCGTCAACCTGAATAAGAAACGACCGAACACATTTTATGTTGGTACGATAACCTATCAAATGTGCGGTTCTCTGTAATAATACTTGGGGATTGTATTAAACACAAAGTCACCACAAGAAATCAACTGCTGAAAAAGCCAACCAACAACTCAAACCTTATGTTTCTCAGCTAGTGAATATGCTTGTCCCGTTTGGTGCGGATCTGCCCATTCTAAGCAAGTCGATGTGGCTCTGAATGAGACGTGCAGAATAACTACTGGCTGCATGAAAGCAACGCAGCTAAACAGATTATATAAGGCAGCAAGCTTCAACTCTCCCGCAACACGTCGTAGTGAACTTGAGTATATAGAAAGGTTCTGACATTCGTTCGATAACAGGCATGCACTTAATGCAACTGAAACACCTCCAACGACAGAAATCCCGTCGAGGTTTCCTAAATACTGTAAATGTTGAACCACCAGACGAGTTCCCCTTTTATCAAGATCCACCGACGGGATGGTTCCTCACCCATTCTCACTCTGACCAGTTGAACTGTATACATAAAGACCAGAATCGAATTACGGTTTCTTATTATTTAATGGTGATTGTCCATTGGGCAAAGGAAACGGTGAATTCATTCTGTCGTGAGCAATAAGTTCTGCGTAAAATTTCAGTTGCTCAGATGTGGGAAGAGGTGTCATGGGCGGAGGCATATTAGGAAGATTTGAGTAAACGTTCTGCAGAGCCGTCTGGTAATAGAGCGTGTCTATCAGAGGCATAAGGTTTCATAAATACTGTAAATGTTGAACCACCAGACGAGTTCCCCTTTTATCAAGATCCACCGACGGGAGTTCATTTGAATTGGAAAACCTGGAGAACACTTAATGTCGCTACAGTAAAAGCCCACCTAGTGAAATGGTGTATAAATCAGAATGTGGACACCCAGTGTGAATGCGGCGAAGAACAAGACATGGAGCATGTACCAGATGCAGAAACTGACTTTATACTTGTAGTTCTCAAGATTTATGGCTGGCAAATGAAAACGCAATTAACGTAGCCCGGCAATGAACGGAAATTATTTAATATTAAGTTTTAAGAATTTTGTTTTGTCCGGACACGAAAAAATAAAGTAAAGGTAGTATCAGACATAGCTACTTTTGTTGCGCAGTACATTAAAAACTGCGCAACCTGCAACGTTGCGATCGCAGCTTGGTTGCGTAGGCTACTTTTTTGTTGTGCGCAGTTTAAGAAATAGCCGTGTGTGAACAGTTGTTGAGGAAGGTTGCAAGTGCAGCAAAAGATTACTAATCACTTGAAACTTTTACTGCGAACATCGGTGAAGTATTCTGATGGTATGTCCGAAATGTATACACTTTCTTTCAGTTAACTCCAGGATTTATATTTAGGTATTTAGTAAAGACTTACTTTTTCTAAGATGTTGTTAAAATCCATTTTTAAAGTGCCACTCGTCTTGAGCATTCAATTCAGTAAGTAAATTATTGAATGCACTCAACTGTTCGCTCTTTCTTATCCATTCCCTGACCCACACTCTTGTTTTTTTTTGTCGCCGCTTTTGTTTCGCTGCCAAAGTCACATATAAATATGCCGCTGCTAACACTGTTGCGTCATCCATTTAAAAAAAACGCAAACATCTCCCAAAAGGTACACATACGATACCTTGAGCTGTGGGTGGTGTACTGTTGAATGTTGCCCCTCCAAGGCTGCGGCTACCAAAATATGTTGCAAAAGTAGCGTTTTGGTGTGAACATATGAAAAGCATGTAGTGTCGACTTGCAACTTTTTTAGGCAGCTGCTGCATAAAAACTGCGCGTTTTGGGCTACTTTCCGCTGGTGTATCTAAGGGTACATACATAGTGGGGCATCTCGATGTGATGCTCGCCGCGATGCACCCTACGCGCACGTTTTAAGTACTGTTTTAAAATGGCGAGTAACTGCGCGTAGAATGTGCATAGCGGCGAGCATCGCATCGAGATGCCTCACTATGTTTGTACCCTAACACTGTATGCAACTTTTGCAGCGGCTGCAAAAAAATTGCGCAACAAAAGTAGCTGTGTCTGATACTACCTTAAGATAGACTTTCTGAAAAGGTTGCAGTTTATAAGGGCGATAGCCATCTCGAAGAATCTAATCTAATCTAATGTGCTGTCATTTTAGAAATAAACCACAAAAATTGCATAATATTAACAACGAATGACGCATGATGGATGTCTGTAAACGCACATTTATTTCTTAATTCAGTGGAATATTCAGTACGATGCAATCGTCATCTAGATAGCACTATACAAATAGGACTTTGTTAGTCTCTTTAAATAAAACCGACTTTCATGATTAATGTTTAAAACTTAACATATATGAAATAATATTTTGGTATTTTAACAACATTTAATTTAACAGTATTACTTAACAGTCGTAACATAAAATTTGCCCATTTAACAAAATAAATACCAATATCTAGACGTGAAGTGATGAAAATGAATTAAAAAACATTCAAGAATAGAATCGTACATAATTCAATAATAAAATTATAATTATTGCACTATTTTAAATATTATTAAAAAACATAATAAATATTTTAATAATATTTAAATTAGTGCAATCGCTTTCAATTTATTGTCAATTAGAAAAAAAAAGCATATCAATAAATAATAAAATTATAAACTCATTATAATTCAGTATATAAATATAATAGTGCCATAAACAAATAAATAAACCGTGATACAAAAATCACAGTACCTTTTATATTGTGTTAATTATTTAACCATGCATGATGCTCCTAGTCTAAGGCATGATGTAGTCAGAGGTACAAATAATATTTTTATTGATTATGAAATTGTTTAACCGTAGTATAAAAATCTAACCACTAAGTTAAGTCGTCAAAATTAAAAAAAATCTTTAGGGTTGGATTTACCTTACACAATATGATCGAAAAAAAAAACAGCGTCAGCAATGGCTATGAAATGAAGATCGCTGTCATTTTATACGTAAAATTCCATATAAATTTACAATGGCATGTCATCGATCGTCATTTCCAAGCCCACTGGACGCCGATTTTTTCGATCATACGGTAGTTACCCTCTAGAGAAGATTTCATCATGTGTTAGATATTTCTGTTGACCCCAATGTTCAATGTTAGCCATTAATCGGTAATCAGTGCAAAAAGAAAATTAAATGTGCCCCTATAATGTAATTTGAAATCTAGAGCTCATGAAAGGTTTTGACACAACAGTAGATAACAATGTGATCCAATTAGAACACTTATTTTAGACTTTAGAGTAATGTTAATCGTCAAAACTCCCGCTATTGTTTTTTAGGAAATCCTCAGCGGATTAAAGAAAAATACGGAATAATGAAATAACACCCAAAAAAAAGTAAAACGACAGAGATCTCCATCTCCACACTCTAGTTTCAGCAAGATGGAGCACCGCCCAAAACAATATTCGGCAGTACCCCGACCAAATATTACCAAATTGTTGGATAGGGAGGCGATAATCGATTGAGTGGCCAGCACAATCACCTGATCTAACGTCATTAGACTTCTCTTATGGGGATATGTCAAAAGTATTGAAAGAATAGTACCGGAAACACTTAATATTTCCAAAACTCAGTTAAGATAGGTATGACATTGTACATGAAATATCTAAAAATTTTCCCTGTATAAAATGCCCACAAAAAGTAAAACTTGTATTTATATAACATCGAACTTAATATAATTGGCGAGAGCTAACTTACTGCTTAGATATTTATATTGTGGTTTAACACAATTAATTACCTATAAATACAGTTAGGAAAAAATTGCTAATCAAAATAAATAGGCAAGTCCAGTTCATAGGCCAGATTTAACACTTTTAGTAAAAAAATATGTATTCCAAATGTTATGCTTACAAGTATATTAAAGAGTCTTAATCTTGTAATCCTAGTATAAACATAAAGACACAAACAACACGAAATGTACGTCATTATGTATAACTCTTCTTACTCTCTCTATTGAATCTTATCAGTTGATGACATATCAACATTATCTCTTATTATAACAATTCTGTTATTCTCATGAACGCCTGAAAGACATTCTAAACATTGTTATGTTTTAAGGGTTTGTGAGACTTACATCCTGGGTTTATGGTTCCTCATCCAATCTCACACTGACCAGTTTAACTGTATACATAAAGACCAGAACTATTCATCTTTATGGAAAATCAAATTACGGTTTCTTATTATTTAATGGTGATTGTCCGTTGGGCAAAGGAAACGGTGAATTCATCCTGCCGTGAGCAATAAGTTCTGCGTAAAATTTCAGTTGCTCAGATGTGGGAAGAGGTATCATGGGCGGAGGCATATTAGGAAGATTTGAGTAAACGTTCTGCAAAGCCGTCTGGTAATAGAGCGTGTCTATCAGAGGCATAAGGCGATGATTTAATCCGTTAGTACTTTCAGGTGAGGCAAATTGGGACAGGAAAGGTGGCATCGTTTGTGGGAACGATGGCGGCAAAGGTTTTTGTACCATCGGAGGTTCTCGAGCGGTAGGTTTATTATTGACGCTCATGCCATGAGAAGCCGTTAATTCTGCATTGTTCTTGTTCATAGTTGGAATGTGATATTTGCCATACCTCTTCATTCTTTCGTCTTCTTTGACTCTATCTAACTTAAAAGCGTTGTGTTCGTGGTTCGATCTTTTGTGCGACGATGGCTTTGAAAGAAACCCGGACGATTTTGACGCACTACCGGCCGATTTTGAACCGACTAAAGTAATTTCCAAGTTTGAACCTAGCTTTCTACCATCCAATATGATGGACGATGGTTTATACAAGTTTTTAGTAACGCGTTCTCGCTCGTTGGTTAGGTACGAGGTGGACGTACTACTTTGCGGTATGCGCATAATTTCAACGACTGGCTTTTGCGGACTGGTAATAGATAAATCCATCGGATCGCCCCCGTTGGATCTAACATTAACAGGAACAAACCTCGGTGTCTGAGGAGCCATTACCGGCTGTAGCATATCTTTAGGATTGCCATATACAGTCATTTCTGAGTAGGAATAAATTGATTTTGATTGAACAACTTTTGGTGGGGTGGAACCAGCATTAAACGAAAAACTTTCGGATTTGCTACTAGTTCTGCTTGAAGTACTTGTAGAATCCTTTACGTGGGTAATATTTACACTGTGAGATATAGATGCGGAACTGTGCCGTCTCGGTAGTGGATTGCTTACCAACACCGGAAGTTTGGCAGCTTTCGATTCACTCAAATGTGAAGTTGGCTGAATGACTGTTGGACGAATATCTTTTAGAGTTGGAGAATTGACTCCAGAACGTACGGGCGTCACTTCTAGCCCACCTTCCTTTAAAATATCTAGCTTGATTTTCTTAACGTCTTGCAGAAAAGATGTATCTGTATTTTTCTTGTACTCATCATCCGCTTCAACGTTCGGTGTTTTTGCTTTATATGGGACATTAGTAATTTCTGGAGTAACATTAGGAATCACTGTTTCTCCAGTTTTTATTTCAGGAATATTTTCTTTACCTTCTACTGGAGATAGAATTTTATCGGGAATTACAGTTACAGCGATAGGAGCAACTGCCGACGTAAGAGGTTCGACATTTTTATCCGGAATAGAAATATCGGTTTTTGTACCCTCAGGTATGGAAGGAGTAATGCTTGTTGGCTCGCTAGGGGTGGACTCTGTTTCTTCTTTAACGTCCTGATTTTCTTCTTTCTTTATTTGTACATCATCACACTCAGGCTTTAAATCTATTTCTAATCTATCTTCTATTTTACTATTAACCTGAATATCTTCAGGTTCACTTTTTATCAGTTCATGAACACTTTCTTTGTCGTCCTCTGGCGATTCAATTTTAACACTTTGGTCCAAGTTGACATCTGCCACACTTGTTTTATCACTAACAGAATTCTGTTTATTCTTTTGTCTTTCCGGTTTAACTCGTATGCTTCTGAGCGATGAGAATTTTCCAGCAGGTGTTAATTCCTGAAAAAAATAATTGTTATATAAAAAAAGCCACTACCAAAAACAAAAAAAAATAAAAACAACTTAAAAATAAAATGAAAATACCTTAGACTCATTAGGAGGTGGGGTACTACTAGCCCTTGAAGTAGAAGGAGTAGGGGAATCATTGCTAGAATCACCATCACTGGAAGAGCTGCTAGCGTTACTCGATTTCTTCCTTTTCAATCTACGCCTTTCAGCAATCGAAAGAGGCTTGTATTCTTCCCCTTTTAAGTGCTTTTCGTAAGCAAGAAGAAATCTAGAACAGACGTTCAATTATTAACTTACTGTGCATACAGATATTATTATTATTATTAAATATTAATTCAAACTTAAGTATTAAATAATATTCAAATCAAATTCTATTATCCTATGATATAAAAATGAAAATTTATTTAAAAACGTTAATTGTAAATATTTAACTCAATGGTCAAGGTCGTACATGGCTATTAAAGCCAATAAAAAAAATAACTCCTTTTCAGGTGTATTATATATGATGTGGTATCGAAATTAACATGTGTTTTTTAGAGAAGACATTTATTAAAATCTTAATTTAAAACTGAAACACGAATATACAAGGTTGAATACGAAAATACAAGATTGGTTATTTTAAATACCACCTATTTTTCAATGCATAAGGTAATGATTGGGGAAGTCTAATAAATAATATCACAAAAACTAAAAGTGAGCTAAAGGAGGTATTGAATTAATTTATTTTCAAGTTAAAGCCACTAAGAGGCTGTTTTTGTGGGAAAACACCCAGTTTTTTTTCAAAAATGTACTTGCTAGAAAGACATAGATATTGCATTGCTGTGAATAAAATAATTTTTTTATAAATAAAATGTATTTATAAAAATATATCTCGTATTTTCTCACTTTAGTGATATCGATGATCGAAAAAAAGGCGCGAACTTGGGTTAGGTTGGTTGGGTGGTTTTCTTTGTTTGTTCAGTACATCTTATTGTATTGAGTGTATTGACTGTACGTAAACATGAAAATCGGCATCCAAAGCTAGACCTTCCCGACCGTATACAGAGTGGTCCGGACAGGGGTGGATGGGGAAGTGGAAACCGGCCCGGGAATAACAGGCATCCGGCCCGAATCCACAAAAACAAAATGACCATAATGAATAAACATATTTTATTTATTAATATACAGGGTGTCCCAAAATAAGTGCAAGTATTTTAACTGGTAGTACATTTCGGCCTCAGCAACACGTCTATGAGTTTTTTTTGCAAAAATTTGGAATTTTTTTTATTTTTAAGTTAAAAACATAATTTCTTGATAATATGGCAACATAGGTAGTAGATTAAATTTACATGAAAGAAAATCCAGAAAACATCCAGAGGTTCTCAAAATTTAAGCAAAAAAGCATTTTTTGTTTAAATTTTCAAAGTAAAATAACTCGGTTATTTTGGACTTACTTGAAAAACGGTAAAGAAAAAAAATGTTTCTTTTGATCAAATCTACCCCCCTTAAAATACTTGCACCTATTTCTGTGACACCCTATATAAGTAAGGGTGATTTTCGCTCGGGCGAAAAAATCTCTTTTGCCTCCGATTTTTTAAAAATATTGAAATTGACTTGATCAACATTTTTGTAAAGATCAATATCAGATCGGAAATCTGAATTTTTACTACAAAATTAGCTCAGTTTCACAGAGTTCTACTGTTTTATTTCCATTATCGATAACGGTAATTTGATCTTGAATATGCTACGATTTTCAATCACGATTTTGAGAAACTTTAAGGCTTCCTGATTGATTGAGTTCATATTTTTTTATTCTGGCCCAATACTCTATGAAATACATTATTTTTTAGCTTTTCAGGTATATACTTTCTTACACATTGTAGAAAGAAATTCTCTCTTTTCTGGTACAGTAGCAGCCTCGTCGTGTATACGTGTTTTAATTTTTGGTATAATTCTCATCACGTAGCTTTTACTCGTTTCTACATTATTTGGCATCTTGTATGATAATGCCATGACTCAAACAAAAAAAACCTAGGCAATACCTAGGCAGTGAATATAAATGTGTTCTGAGGTTACAGAAAAATTTCAACTTTAATAACTCGGTTATTTTCGACTTATTTGAAACACGGTGAAGAGAATATATTATGTTTCTTTTATTCGTACCTACCAGCCTTGAAAATATTTGCACAAAGCAGCACACAAATAAAGTGCACTTATAAACTCACCTTGTATAATAAAACATTTCAAACGGAACAACAAACAGATGTTTACTAAAATGATAAGTGTCTCAGAGAAAGACATCTAACAATAGTTATATTACAAATTGGTGTTTATGCAACTGACTATTATATTGATCTAATTGATTAGTTAATTAGGCAGTTACTAAGAATCTTACGTAACTTTAGTTAGAAGATTAACCATTTAATTTTTGCTAAATCAATATTTTTTTGAGCTCTGATCGGGACCGGCCCACCGGCTCATCTACCCACCGGCCCACCGGGAATTTTCCCATATGGCCCATCCACCCCTGGGTCCGAATAGTAATCGGAAAACTTCAGCAGCATATTCTGCAGATAAAAATAAGTAGAACATTTCGTATATATGTATGTCCTAAAAAATCACTTTTTTTCGATTTTTCCTAAATAATTTCTTTTTTCTGCAAACTAATGTCGGTGTTTGGTTGAAAATTGGTATCTAGGTGTTTTTTTGACATTATACGGGTAAATTTGATTTCGAAGTCAATATGACTCCTACTTATAGTGGGCGCCACTTACATATTTTTTAACTGGTTTAAAGAGAGAACTTTTCGTCCATACCTGTATAAAACTACTGAGATACATTTCCGCCATTTTCTACGTAAATAAATAATGTCTCTTAGTAGATTCACTACGAGTAACCGTTCTCAAGATATTTGGAATGAACATGTTGACTAAATAGTTATTTGACTGTAACTGAAAAAGTTATTTCTCTTCAAACCAATTAAAAAATATGTAGGTGGCTCCCCCTACAACCTACAAGCAGGAGTCATAATAACATCAATTTCTCATGTTAAAAAACACCCAAACACCAATTTTAATCCAAGTAATTGATAATCCAATTAATAATCCATTAATTCAGAATTTATAAATAAAAATGAGACTTCTACACACTGTAATTCAGAAATGAATAATTTTAGGATATAAATTTATACGAACTTATTTTTATCTGCAGAATATGCTGCAAAAGTTTTCCAAATACAATTCGGACCACCCTGTATTGTATATATCCAAATATATTGAACACATATAACGTTTATGTGAATTACCTTTCATAATGTCTTCTAATCACAGTAGCGGCGCTTGTACTGTTGAGATGGCCAGTCATATCATCAAAAACAGATTTCCATAAACGATTTGTCGTCACACAATCGTATCCTCCCAGTTTCTGAACTTTCACGAAGAACTCGTGCAAATTTACTAAAGTATAAATGAAAAATAATGATATTTGTTACTTCTGTAGAAAATACATTACTCACATTCTTTATATCCTAACGATGGCACTCGTCCCATCGATATGTGCTTCGACTTCATGAAAACTGTCAAAGTTTTCATGAATTCTTTATTTTCGTTGTTTTCGTGGGAACGGGTACTTCGGCGTGTTGCGATTGGAGGATCTGAAGATGTTCCGTTTGCTTTTTCCGATGACTGTAAAATAAAACTATATATAAGTAATATTATTATAAATGAATAATAATCAAATGAATATCAATTAAGTTACAATATGATAAAAATGTATTAATTGTAGAGCTAAAAGATTATAACATAGAAAATGTATTTTACATCATACTCTCCCAATTTTACACCATACACCGACTCTCACCATTGAAATATCTCACCATCTAGAAAACGGTAGAGATTAGCGATGGGAACTATCGAATGAATTAGACTATCGAATGGTTACTGAATGAATGATTTCAACTATCGAATGGTTTTATTCGAATAAAATCATTCATTCATTTGTATACTAAAGCATATGTGACAACCTCGCCGTGCGACTAAATGGTTATCGTTGAGCCACGACTATCGAATGCTCGTTTGGAACAAAATTCGATATTTTATAATAGTTTTTATACAGGGTGAGTCTTAAATAAGTGCAAATATTTTGAGGGGTAGTATATTTTGGACCCCAAAAACACGAGTTTTTTTTCGCGAAAAAGATTTTTGAAATATTGGAATTTTTTTTTTAGTTGTTAATGTTAAAAAACATAATTTCTTGATAATATGGCAACATAGGTAGTCGATTAAATTTACAAGAAAGAAAATCCAGAAAAGATCAAGGGGTTCTCAAAATTTTAGCAAAAAATATTTTTGAAATTTTCAAAATAAAATAACTCGGTTATTTTGGATTTATTTGAAAAACGGTAAAAAGAAAAATATGTTTCTTTTATTGAGATCTACCAGCCCTGAAAATATTTGCACTTATTTAAGACTCTCAGACTCTCTAACCCTGTATAGATAAATGATTATCGGAATACTGCCGCTTAGACAAAAAGAAGTCTGCCGACTTTACCCTTCGTTCGTTTTCTTAGATCAATCTAACCTGAGAGATGTCTGCGGATTTGGCCTGTGACAAGCTCGTTACGACAAAGGCTTGGCCTGCCACACACAATCACAATGTTTTTATCCGCAGACCAAGTCCGCAGGCCAAATCTGGTGAATGGGGGGCTATCGAACTTTTCTTTTTCGTTTCCAGAAAAATAATGGAAAACTGAAACTTCCCGTGATTGTTTAGAGTTTATTTTGATAGTTAGAAAAAATCTTTAAAGGCATTCGCAAAGAAACTTTTTTAGCTTAATCCTTCTGTAATGTAAAAAATCACTTACGACGTATCGTTTTTCTAGACCTATCATCAACTATAATTTTTTAAACAGTGCCCTGGATTTTTTATTTTCATTTTCAAAAGATTTGGATAATTTTTCCTAATCTCTTCTAAATGCAATCATGTATCGCACTTACCCAAAAGTGCTGTTTGTTTTTATGCATCATTGTATTGTTTACCGCTTATCATAGAATCAAAAAGGGAATGAAGTTGATGATAGCCCCAGAAAAACGTAAAAGAAAAAGTAATTTTTGATGTCACCACAGGATAAAGCTAAAAAAGTTTTGTTGAGAATGTATATGTAGATTTTTTAACTTTTTAAACTGTTAAATTGCAAAAAAAAAACATAATAAACTAGAAACTTTCAACCATATTTTCGGAATTGATAAAAATAAGTTCAATTAGTTAACGGAATATTATTGGCCTCATTGACATGTAGGTAACTTTAACCCAATTTGAGGTACACCGTATTTAGTACCGCTTTCGAGATCCAAATGGTTAGAGTTTAATTTGAAACACCCGGTATAAATGTACGACTTTTCAGACTACCCTCTGATGCAATAATCTATTGAAATATAATAAATCAACATCATTAAGAAATAATGTTTTTGAAAAGAAAATAGACATTTAATATTTTAAACATAAAAATTTCTAATAATAACTAAACTTTTTTAAAACTAAATTAGAAAAATTAAATGGCATTTTTATTTAATTTTTTGGTCCAAAAATTACTGAGCGCATTGTTTAGTAGCACACATGTATATTGTATATTATAAAAGATATACTTACTCTAACATAATGATTAGTAAGAGACGATTCTGATTCGTTACTTTCCGATCCCGGTGAAATGCTCCGTTTTTTCCGCTTGCTCCGAGGACGGCCCTTGAGTTTCGGAGCCAAGTGGTTGCAGAGTAGTTCGTGTCCTTCCAGTTCGGGATAATCGAACGTGTCTCGACAAAACAATACCTAAGATATAACAAAATAAGTCCAGAACTCAATAAATCCATAACCTATCAATACTATGTAGAACAAATAAAAACGCACAATCTCTCCGTGCACATCCTGGTCACTTCATCTGCGTTGTCTGTATTTATTATTATACAATATGTATTTTTATGTGGTCTGTATTTATTATTATATATTATATATCTGTATGTATTATGTATGCGAGAGAGATAAATATAAACGACCGGCTGACAGACAGAAAGACAAAATATAAAGCGGCATACAGTGTTGCAGGTTTTTGCGTGTGTAGGAAAATGTGCGCTGAAAAAAAATAAGATATTTTAAAAACTTTCATCTATACTACTGAAATGAATTTAATATATCTTAGCTTACTATAATCTATTACAGCTATAGTAAAACGAGTAACTAATTGTGAAAGATAAAGTTCCAACCCTAGACGCAACATTATTCATAAACGCCTATATTTGTGCGGTTTGAAATTTTGATGCAAAATCCGGAAATACCGCATAGAAGAAATGTACCGACCCAAGTTTTATCACTTTTTAATACATTGTTTGAGTTCACGTTAATTTTCTCATGACTGATTGACATACTTAATAAAATTTGATGTTATTTTCATTAAAAACTCATTTTTTCTCAATTTTACTTTTGAAAACCAGGTCTTAGTTGCTGATTGACGAACTGCTCCATAATTGAATAAAAATTAGCTATTTCGGAAAGTACCGAGAGAAAATCGGGAAATCCCGGTTTCTTAAAGGCTAGGTACCGAAATTCCCGGTTCCAAAAAACACTTCCAGTTCCAGAGACCCTAGTACCTACTATTTTACTTAGCAAAATATTTTAAATTTAGGATAGGTACTTATAATCAAAAACATTGTTATAATAAAACCATAAATGTTATGTTTAGTCAATTATTGACTAAAAATTTAAATTATATTTCAAATATAGCAATATGTTGGACTAATAATTACTGTGGAATGAATTACAAATTACGTTCTTAATGAAAAATAACGAATTAAATCCAATTGATGCCGACAACATTTAATTTCATATAAAACATTATCGTTACTGATATGTCGTTGAAATTTGTAGGAAAATATTTTAACTAATTTACTTTATCATATTTATTGCTTTATAGAAAGTTGTTTTTTAATATATCGATATATCGACTAAATAATTATTTAGTCAGAGATTACTATATATTTTCTAAATTATTGATCTTAGTGACTATTTCAAAATATCCTAATATTATATATATTGATTTTGGAAACTTTTCTACTTACAACATTTTCCAATTTTAAAGAGTGTAAATAGAATTTAAAATAAAGCGTTTTTATTATGTATACAAAAATGAACTCATAAAATGATCTGCTTAATTTCATTATTCCAGATGAAACAAAGTATAGCGGGCTTGAGGTTGGTTTTATAAAAACAATAAAATTATTTTTAGTAATATACCACATGCCACATATGCAATGACTGACTTTTATAACGCAACTTTTGACAGCAGGTGATAAGAGCTACATACTCATAACAAAAAAAAACTGTAGTAAATTATACGAGGTAACACAAAATTTATGTACAAACCGCCAATTGCTTGATTTTTTTTGAATAATTATGAAACTTTGATATCAAATATAGTTTACCTATTATCAAAGCTCACTTTTTCATTAAATAAAAACATGAAATTTCATATCACATGAACCCTGTATATTTCTTACCTATAATATAATAATAGCTTAAATTTTGCTTAAATGTTTAAATAATAGCCTCGATCTCGATAATAGCTAAGCTAAATTACAGCTTAAATTCTTTTTTCAAGTATATATCACAAGTTGGTATTATTTTTACAAAATATACAAAGCGATCACGTAAAAGTCTGCCTATTTAAACGGGCAAAAAATAATCACCCATACTTCCATGGGTGATTTGCTGGGAGAAGAGCTATACTTATTATGACAATAAAAATTAATATGAATAATTAAATAAATAATATTTATAAGCACCTATAATAAATACAAAATACGATAAATTACGAAAAATAAACATGTATATACAAACTCTATTCAATACTCTACAAAAATTCATCAATCAATCTTACCCTTGTGTTGGGATGTTTAACGTAAAATCCCCCGAGAGCATTGACGATCTTGCATTTCAGGTAAAGATTTTCTACGCCTTCCAGTCTTTTCAACATCGCCCTGTATCGACAGTACCTTGGAAAACTTAGGATTACCACGTGAGGTTTCATGTCCATGTCTACGGTGGGTTCTAAAACCAAAGAAAACAGGTATACAAAATGGATATTGGTAATATTGATAGAAATTTATGACAGAATACAAAATTTGAAAATAAGAATATGCCAAAAATGAGTTCATACATTCTTATTCAATCAAAATTACTGAAGTAAAACTTCTTTACACGCGCTGGCGCTGGGAGTAAAAATGCAAGGTCGTGACACACGAGCTAGTAGTAACGAAAAGTGGTAACAGCTTAGGCTGAGAACATAGTGGACCGAGTAGAGCGGCGAGGAATAGCGAGATACTTGTGCAAATTTATTATTTTCATTTGCTTATTGATAATTTAAAATCTTAACAGTGGTTAAAATTCTGGGCAGTAGTGTCGCAAACATTTGGTTAGATGAAGTTTTCAAAAACCCGAGAAAGTATGGCTAGTTTTATAACCTTTATGAAAATGTGTTGCCACTTCACCTCATAACTTATCCAAAATGTACCGGTTATGGTGATTAGTATCTTTCTGATCTCATAAATTCTCTTACAAATACTAAATCTATTAATTTTTGGGAATCTATCATTTTCTACAGCGCGATAGAGCCACGAAAACAAAATTATTTGAATCGATCTCGCCGCTCGATCTAACCGTTCGTTCCAGATCGCTTTACTATTTGTCTTCACAGGTTTGTTTTGGACGCGATGTCGCGCTTCTTGCTCGCCGCTATCCTCGTCGCTCCACTATGTTCTTAGCCTTAAGCCGGTTCCAGACACTACGTGCATTTGGCGAATATTCGGTATTCGAGCTTATTCGCTTCGACGAAGATTCGTACTTCGTCATTTTCCCGGCGGTTGTCGGTAAACTGGCACGAATCAAAAGAGCTCGTAGTGCGGCGCACACTGGTTCGCTCTTATGGACGTACGTGGCCAAAACCTGTATATTATTATATCGGGGAAAATTAATGTATCAGTTAATATTTTTTAGTAAATCTATAAATATTTAGGCGTTTGGAGTTGCCAAACATATAAAAAAAGTTCTTTATCGTTAGACGTTTTCAATTATACAGGTAAAGTAACGATGATTCATTAGAATTTAAAAGCGCAATTTATTTACCAATATTAATAAGTATTACTTTATAAAGGTATTTAGGAAAATTAAAAAACAACAAACAGAATGAACAATGGTTAGAAGATATGCGGTAAATCGTTGATAAGCTAATACAGGGTGGCCCATAAGTGTGAGAAAGTTCAATATCGTCGTTGCGTAGACGAAAATATGAAAAAAGTATTATATAAATATTTGCATGTTTTATTAAGGTGCATATACTAAAAATATTTTGTTGTATAAAGGGTGTCCCAAAGTAATGATAAAATCCTGGGCTTTTTTAAATCATAACTCCCTTTTTTTCTGTACATAATTTGATTCAGCATAAAATTGTGCATATAGGACACTATTTTTATTTGAAAACTATGCGTGTTACCATGCTATTTCTTATTTATTAAAATTTTCATTAATAATAGTAGGTATATCCGAAAATTGGTTAAAATCTGAGGTTAATTTATATTTGTTAATATTTAATGCTATACTATGTTAATACCCTGTACTTTACCAATATTTTCTTAACGCCAAAGAAAATAGAATAAATTTGTGAAGAAGAAAAACTCACATTATCTTATACCGGTCATTTTTTATGGCGTGGCTAACAATGAAATATTTAAAATGCTCTATTTAAATTTTTAAATGCACATTTATAAACCATGCAACATTTATATAAGACGTTTGTTTACAAGACAATTTATGCTGAATAGCAGATATTAGCAGCTAATTTGACATGGTTCTCAAAAAAAGACATTATGAAGTTTCATTTAAGTTAAAACAATCACTTAGTTCAGCTGCGATATCCTTGATTTAGTTATGTATATAAAATATATTTCACAGGTACAATATAATTTTGATATTTTCAAATGGTTAGTACTATTTTTTTTTCATTTTATCTGTCAAAAACTGATATTATATGAGGAAAGTATACGTGCAGTATGGTCTAATTATAAAATGCAATATTTCATATTATTTTGAAAACACTAAGTGAGTAATTTATTCATTGTCGATACAAAAACAGTTATATATGCTTTTTTAGACTATTGCATATAAAATGTTATCACATAAGTGCTCTAAAGTGCATGAATTTCCAAAATATATTTTTATAACAAACCTTTCATGTTTTTAAATATATATTATAAAATATTTGATCATATATGATCAAAATAATTTTTTTCGACATACTGAATTTTGGCCAAATTTTTATAAGGGAGGGAACTACTGTGCGGCGTAGTCAACTTCGGAATTACTCCCAGAGGCTGCGGGCTCCCCTACGCATTGCTCTACTACGGGAAATATTTATTTGTTATTGGACGCATTTTTACAAATAACGTAGCGTGTGGGACGGTGGCCGAAGCCGCTGTACATAATTTGAATGTTCGCACATTCGCCAAATGTACGTAGTGTCTGGGACCGGCTTTGAAATACGTAGTGACGCGACGTGTATTTGTGAGCAATCCACGTGTTTATCAAAAATATTGATTTTGAATTTTTAGAATTTAGAATGATGGTTAATCACTGCGACCTTACAGATCTATTGTGTCCCCCCTTTTTTGAGTTAAAACTCATGATACAGCGCTAGGGCTTTGATAAAAGCCAGTAACTGGGACGGTTTTACAGAGGGTAGTTCCCCATCTCCAATATCAGTCGTATCAAAGATCATGGTACAACTGGTTGTCGTCTCGGCGCACTCAGTGATGAGGTGTTCTGGTGTTTCCCCATTTTCCCCACAGAATCTGCATTCGCCGTTTATTCTTAGTTTCAATCTACTGAGGTATCCATTGAGTGTCCTGTTAAAAACCCCGTAACAATCCGAATATTGTTCTTACTTAAGTCCAGTAAGATCTTTGATTTTTCTTGGTCGTAAGCCCTCAAAATATTGATATTTTAATACAAATTTTGTGAAAGTGAATCAAATTATTACGCGCAAAAAACTATTTGTTACACGTAAAAAATTATTTGTTACTCGCAAAAAACTATTTTTATAAACTTTTTATTTTACGCGTATAAAACTATTTGTTACAAGTAAAAAACTATTTGTTAAACGTAAAAAACTATTTGTTACATGCAAAAACTATTTTTATACGTATAAAACACTATTTGTGACACGTAAAAAACTATTTGTTACGCGTAAAAAAATTTTTTTTAAAGGTAAAAAACAATTTTTACGCGTAAAAAATGTTTTTTTTTAATTTATTACTTTTCCAATATTTCAAACTTTTGTTTCCAATATTTGAAACAAAAAAAATTCTAATTTTTAAACTAAACTAGTACAATTTTTAAAGCATCATAAATGCATACTTTTTATTATGTAAATATTTATATTGTTAAAGCAACATGAATTAAATTGATATAATAACAAAATAAAACATTCCTAAATGAGAGATTTTCATAATGTTGTATCTAATGTAATTCTACATACTTAAAATACACTATCTTTGATTAATTTGCTTTATCAAAACAGATAAAAAGTTTTATAACTGTTCTCTAATTTATTTGAGATAAGAAAGCATGTAAACCGTTTTTTAAACAGTGGCATTACTAGACAATCAGGAAGTTACAAAGGAATCAATGTTTTGAAGGAAAAATAAATCTTTAGAACGTAGTCATTGAAATTCTATATTTGTGATTACTATTTTACAATTTTTGCGAAAAATACAGATAGGCGCAGGAGATGAAACGCAAACACAAAAACAAGCGAAGATGGTCAGCTGCTACCGAATAAGCTGTGGTTACTATATTGCCCAATTGATGCATTGAATTACATATTATATGTTTTTAATTTTATATTTTTTTGTTGCAAATATCACAAAACAATATTAATATCGTTAAATAAGATTAATTTTTATTGTCTGGATTATTCTGCAATCATCACAAAAGACGCAAATCAAGATGGCAATATTTTATAATTGTATATTAAAGTATGTTAATTCCTATTTGAATAAAAGTTAACTGCATTTTCAATTTATTTCGAAATGATAAGATAAAAAAAAAACTGGTGTTGAGAATTAGTTACTACTTACTACTTATCTCAGATAAAATAAAAAATAATTACAGCTCAACATATTTATAGACGTATATTATTATGAGATAAATGAAATGTAACAGCTTTCAGAATACACAGTTAGAATATTTAGATTCTTTATATATTCCATTATCAACAAGCTGAAAATTACTCTAGAGAAAATAAGCATTCAAATATTATCTTTATTTAATTACAGTATTAAACGAGGGGCAGGGGCGCCAACTGCGTGGGTGCTCGGGTGCTCAAGCACCCACGAGAGAAAATAAGTGGGTGCGGAGCACCCACGATCATAAGCATCCAACTTTAAGACACTCGCATCTCATCCAGCCCAATTCCCAATTACAGGCGTCAATTTCTGTAGTTCTAAGGAAGTTTCCTCGTTCATTCTTAGGTAGTTAAATCAATCCTGTTTTTCAACTGTTAAATCAGCAAGCAGATTAACATGGCAATACTTATTTCCTTTAAATAACCGTTGTTTTTTTGCTTGTTTACTTATTGCATAAGCGAATAAAATCCAAGACAGATGTGTATTTCGGGAGGCCATTTTTACTGAGAAAAAATGTGCCAAAGTGAGTCCGTAACTAAGTTCATTATAGATAAAACTGTACTATAAAATTGCGTACGTGTGCGACAGGCTGTAATACAGGTTAAACTGTTCAGACTGGCCTGCACAGTCTGCCTGTGTTTAATAATAAAAATAAATAACTGTGCGTTCGTAGGGGCTCTAAAAATGTTCTTAAATTAGTACAAATATATTAGGGGTGGTATATTTCGACCCCAGAAACACGTCTATAAGGTTTCTTTCGCGATTCTTTTTTAAATTTGGTATTTTTTTAATTTTTAGTTAAAAAATATAATATCTTAATATTATAAGCAACATAGATAGTAGATTATGTTTACAAAAAAGAAAACCCAG